GGGGGGGGTGATTTCTCGCCTTCTGTCTATCTCTCTCTGTCTCTCTGGTGAGCGCACGTGCCCTGTAGCAAAAACCTCTCCAAAAAAAATAAAAAAGAAAGAAAACATGTAAAACAAATAAATTAATGAAAAAAAATTAAAACAAAAGCCACAGATAGGATATATTGGCAATGCTTATATCAAACAAAGGAATTTTGTCTCCAGAAATATCAAGAAGCTGCAAAATAAGAGACCACTCAGCTTTATAAAAAACAGGCAAAAAACATGAACAGACATTTCATTAAAGATACAGGAGTGACAAACACTTAAAAAAAAAAACAAACAACTAAACACTGAGTATTTAGGGAAATGCAAATTAATACAAAAATACTACACAAAGAAATATCACTACATATTTATTAAAATGGCTAAAATGGGTAGCTTATGATTTACATACATGCAAATTGTTAATGAGAATGTGAAAAAACTGAAAATCTAATATACTCCTGGAACTCCTGGAGGGAATATAAAACAATGAAAAAAATGTTACCAAAAAATCAGGCAAGGGGACCATCAGGTGGCATGGTGGTTAAGGCGCTGGACACCCCCACATGGCTGACCATGGTTCAAGTCCTGGACCTGGAGGCTTGTTTTCTCACTTTCCCTCTCTCTATATCTCTCTCTGGTCAAATTAAAATAAATGAATGAATAAATTAAATTAAAATGAAATAATTCTTTTAAAAAAATCAGGCAAGTTCTTAAAAATTTAAACATTTGATCAATTTCCAGTGTGATAGTATGAGGAGCATCATGGACCTGTTCACCAGCAAAACTAGCAAAATTATAAAAACACAATTCAGAGCCTCTGGAAATGGTCCCAAGGGTATACAGCAAATGAAGGAATATTTATTAAAGAATAGTAAGAGTCAGTCAAATTTGAAACATATCCCCCCCTTACCTCCCCTCCAAACTCAGCAAGATGGAAACACTACCCACATTCACATAGTCAGAAACACAGGGCTCCTCCTGTTCCAGTGTGCATATCTGGAGGAATTACGTCCAATTACTAGCTACCTCATAAAGGCCACTCTGTTTCTTTTTTGTTGTGTTGTTAATTCTTTTAAAGAATTATTTATTTTTATTTACTTCCATTTGTTATTATTATTTTTCAATTTAACCAGACAGAAACACAGAGAAGAAAAGAAAGGAAGCCGCCAGGTCCATGACTCGAACCATGTCAGCCATGTGGGAGTCCAGCACCTTTAACCACCATGCCACCTGCTGGACCCGAGGCTATTCTGTTTCTATGTTATAATAACTAAGAGATAGCATATACCCTGCATTCCTAAGGCCTCTTGCTAGTCTGAACTTTCTGGTGCTAAACAAGGTTAGGCCTTTGGCTGAAGCCTTTTCCCCATTCACTGCAGTTCTGTAAATTCTCTAATGCTGAATGAAATTGGAGGTGCAACTAAAGGCTTTCTCACATTTGCTGCCTTCAAGACTTTTCTCCAGTGTGAACTTTCTGGTGCTGAGTAAGGTTGAAATGCTGTATAAAGGATTTCCCACAATCTCTGCATTCACAAGGTAATTCTCCATTGTGAATCCTCCGATGTTTAACAAGACTGGAGCTATGACGAAAAAATTTACCACATTCCTTGCACTCATAAGGTCTTGCTCCAGTGTGAACTCTCTGATGCTTAACAAGGCTGGAATTCTCACTAAACAATCTCCCACATTCACTGCACTTAAAAGGCTTCTCTCCAGTGTGAATTTTTCGGTGTTGCATGAGGCTTGAGCTTTGACTAAAAAACTTCCCACATTCACTACATTCATAAGGCCTTTCTCCAGTGTGAACTCGCCAATGATTAACCAGGCTGGACTTGTGGCTATAGAATTTCCCACATTTGCTGCATTTATATGGTCTTTCTCCAGTATGTACTCTCTGATGTTTCATGAGGCTGGAGTTGAAACTAAAGAGTTTCCCACATTCAGTGCACTCATAAGGCCTTACTCCAGTGTGGATTCTGTGATGCTGAACAAGTGTCGAATTATGCCTGAAAGCTTTTCCACATTCACTGCATGTGAAAGGTTTCTCTCCAGTGTGAATTCTTCGGTGTTGAATAAGGTCAGCATTGCGACTAAAGGATTTTCCACATTCACTACACCCATAAGGCCTTTCTCCAGTGTGAACTATTTGGTGTATAAAAAGGTTGGATTTGTGGCTAAATAATTTTCCACATTCACTGCATTCATAAGGTTTTTCTCCAGTGTGAAGTCTCTGATGCTGAACCAGTAAATATTTCTGACCAAAAGCTTTCCCACATTCACTACATTTGTAGTGCCTTTTTCCAGAGTGAGAGGACTCTCTATTTTTGGTGTTCCTGCGTAACTCTCCTCCACCAAGAGGCACCTGGTGCATCTGAAGACCTGAGTTGGTTGGGAAGTCCTTTCCTTCTTTGCTTTGGTAGGGCTTCTCTGACAGATAGGTTCTACAGATCCTCAAAAGTGGGACCCTGTTCTCTTCTCTTTCTAAGAGTTTCTCTCCACAGTGCTGCTTCTGGTGTTGGTGAAGATTTGCAGTGAACACTTTTTCTATCAAAGGTGTCTCCTCAGCCTCCACTTTGTGCCAATAACCTGAACACAGAAAAATGCTGAAGTGCATGTAGACTTGATGCAAGGGGGCAGACCCTAGGTATGATTTGAACCCACCCCTGAATTCATACCTCCCCTAGCTCTACCCTCTTAATACCTCCTGGCATAGCTGGAGTTATGATTCTCCTGGAAGGCATGAAGGGCTCTCTCCATGGCTCTAATTGGGTAATTTCATGGGTCCTGGAAGATGTAAGTCCTAGGGGAAAGACAGGACAGATGAGTGCACTAGAGCACTAGACCAGAGTAACTCCCCATGACAGACCACAGTAAAGTTAAATAGTATAAAACCTTAGAGGATGGTCTTATAGGAACAACCCAGTGAAGTAGTGATCACATCCAAGCCTGAATTTGTGGCACAGGCAATCCCCAGGATATGTCTGCTAGAGAAAGAGGGCAAAACCTGCAGAACAGAACTGGCATGGATCTGCACAGCATCAGCAGATCACAGATTTGGGGTGATATCTGTTAGACTGGCTACAAAACTCCTGACTCCAAGCCCTTTCCTATGTGGCTGTGGGACAGCTTGGGGACAGAAGATGGTCTTGTACACAGCAAAAGCATATCACCTATAATACCTACTCTCAGGTACCAGGAAGGAAGTGGTGCTTGTGGTCCATCTTTCAGAAGGATAGCCCTAGGCAAAGGAAGAAAAGCAGAACCCATTTCAGGGTTCTGGAGGGTGTGAGGACCTTACCCAGAGAGGTCACAAGTGTAAAATTCTCCAGCATAACGTTGTAGTACAGGAGCCTCTGAGCCTCATCAAGTAATTGCCACTCCTCCTGGGAGAAGTAGACAGACACATCTTCAAAAGTCATGTGGTCCTGCCAGAAAGTTATTTATATGAAGCCTCCCTCCCTGGGACTGTAGGAATCCTCCTGGACATCCAGCCTTGCTCATCTTCCTCCCTAGCCCCTCACCATTGAGAAACTACCAGGCCCTGGTACACTGATATCTGCTTTCTCTTCATGGCCTCATAGACATGTTAGTCAGCCATCAGCAACAATGGGCAGGTGGCCAGGGTTCATCTAAACTCTAGGTCTGGTATGCAGAGCCTCACCCTTCTCCTGCCAGACAATTCCCATGGGGTCCCTCAGCTCATGCTTCTCAGGTACAACCAAATTTAGGTAACTGCTTTCCCTAAATCCTCAGTATAAGGTCTCTGGGGCCATAATTCATACTCCTTCCCAATGTGCACACACACTGTACCAGTCTCCTCCTACATATCTGGCTCCGCAATACCACCATCCTCCCTACACCATAGCACATATATGTGGCCTCACCATATGCCAGTCTACATATGGTATCCAGAGAATGCCTCACAAGCCCAATCCGAATCCCATCTTGTCTCAGACCTCCAATGGTCCTGAATGCCATAGCCAACCATTATGTCCTACTTCAGGCCTCCATACTTGACCTTTTTCCTTGCTTCATCTTCAGTCTCCTGAAACCACACAGATTTTGGACTTCCTTGTCTCTTCCTTTTTCTTTTTTTTTTTTTTTGAGAGGTTTTCGCTATAGGGCGCATGCACTTGCCAGACAGAGAGAAACATAGAGACAGAAAGCGAGAAATCACCCCCCAGGGGGAATGGTCACGCCGCAATCCCTTCTCCTCCATTCTCCTCTCGGGATCCTGAGCACGCACGCACATGCACTTGGCGTGAGTTTTAAGCCACCAGGTCAGGGACGCGAACCGTGGTTGACCACGTGGGAGTCCAGCGACATAGCCATTACACTAACTGCTGGTTCTCATCCTCTTTCATTTTTGTGTTACAAAGCTACCCCCCTTCAGACAGCCTTCCTCTGACTCTCATTCAAAGCTCAGGGCCATATGTCTCCAAAATCAGGCCAAGTCACTCTCCCTGATGCCTCATTTTATTTTGAGTTAATCCACCAGCCTGAGTGAAACTCCCCAAGTTGGTTCCAGCAAAGGTAAGAACAAAAGCTTGGTGATCCACAGCTGGATGAATAAACAGTGATGCCAGCCATCCTGACATGTCACTTACTGCTGTGTCTCTACATCCATCTTGTGTCTATTCCCCACAGATATCTTAGTTATAGACCCTCTTTACCCTTGTACCTCCTTCTGCATGGCCATTATTCTCTCTCATGTCCTTGTGAAACCTACCACTCTCACCCAGATGTCCAAATGAGACTCAGCCATTGGTCCCATATTCCTTTCCTTTGTTACCTAACAGCACTACAAATAGGCCCTGAAAATTCTCCCTCCTAAATCTGACCCATAGCTCTATCCTAGTCCACATACTGGTCATATCATGGGTATCATCAATCCAAACCCTTTATCTGAATTCCAGACTTGTGTGTCTAGGTACCTGCTCAACAAATCCATGCAAAGGAACATCTGGAACACTTCAGTTCAACGTGGACTAACCTAATTTCTAGCATTCCCCCTGAAAAAAACTCTTATCACCAACTTCCACGTGGTGGCGTTGCCTTGCTTCAACAGTTGAGGCCGAACAAGTGACCCTAAAGCTTCCACTTCTTTCTGATCCCATGCTTTAGAAAATGTGTTCAGACCTATTTAAAATACAGATGTGGGGGGATGCAGGTAGCATAGTAGTTGAGGCACTAGACGCCCATGTGGCTGACTGTGGTTAAAGTCCCAGACCCAGTGACTTGAAAATCATGCCAGGCATGTGTGCATGCACGTCTAAAATCCTGAGAGAAAGATGGAGAAGAGATTGCAACCTGGCCATTCTCCCTAGGGGGTTATTTCTTGTTTTGTGTCTGTCTCTCCACCTCTCTGGCGAATACATGCCTCATATAGAAAAATCCTATCACAAAACAAAACAAAACAAAACCAACACATCTGGACCCAACCATATCCCCTAACTCCATAGTCATCATACTAGTCCAATATCTACCAACACTACTGAAGATGCCGCCTAGCTGGTCTCCCTGCCTTTACCCTAAACCTCATAGCTATTCTTTACAGCAGAGAAAGCTTGTAAAGAATGGGTCAGATCACTTCCTTCTTGTATTCCAAACCTTGTTTGGCTCCTACCACCCTCAGAATAGAGGTTCAGCTTCTCAGGCTATATTTCTAGGCCTAACTCCTGCCTCCTGCTGACTCCACCAGACTAAATGGAGACCTAAGGGTACCTGAGATCAACCTCACTGCCAAGCATTTTTAAATGCTAATCACGGATTATTAATACCTTCCAAAATTCATGCCATTGATTGCCAGAAATGGGAATCTTCCCTACAATCTGTAGTGTAGATTTAGAGCCTTGACTTCGGGTGACCACTTTCTAGGGAACTCGATGGTAGGGTAGGAAGAATAGCAAGCAAAGACACTGTAATCCCGGACACCATGTAAGAACCTAGGATGCCCTCTATTTATCTTTGCCTTGTTTATAAGTGATTCTGTAACTATAGGAACCTATGGAAAAGCAACACTGTGAGAAGGAGGCAGTGACGTTGGCAAAGGATTGTGCAAGCCCCTTCTCTTATCCTGGAGTCAGCTGTCCCTATGTACTATCTGGGCCTCCATTCTCAAAGATGCCTCTTAGCAACTACTTTCCCTGGGAGAAGTACCTGACCTCCTGGTACCTCAGTGTTGTCATCTGTAACATGAGGATCATAATGTTATCCACCCAACAGAACTGTTGTTTATATCAAATTCATTTGTTTATGTTAAATACCAAAAATCAATTCTTTACTGTGCACATAAATGCTTTATCAAGATTTTCAATGCAGGGACCAACAGGTGGAGGGTGGTTAGGGCACTGGAGTCCCACAAGGCCGACCGTGGTTCGAGTCCCAGACCTGGTGGCTTGCTTTCTCACTTTATCTCTGGTGAGTGCATGTGTGCTATAGCAATTTTAAAAATATAATAATGAATAAAATGAAATGAAATAATTCTTTAAAAAATTATTTATAGTGCAAATACACTGGTAGGCTTTGAAAATGTAGGTTTTGTTTTGTTTTCCATACCTTTTAACTAACAATGTGATATATAAGACATTTTATTTTAGGGAACCAGTAGATGGCATAATGGTTACACTGCTGGACTCCTTCACAACTGACTGCGGTTTGAATCCTGGACCTGGAGGCTTGAAAGTCATGCCAGGCTCGTATGTAGGTGTGCCCAAAATTGCCAAGGGATTGCAGAGTTGCCAACCCCCAGGGGGTGATTTATCACTCTCTGTCTCTCTGCCAAACGCACATACCCTATAACAAAAACCTCTCAACAAAACAAAAAGACATTTTATTTTAAGCAAATACTTGGCAGTATATTAAGTTTTATTTAATTATTTGTAGACATTTTTGCCTCAGGGTGTATGTGCTTGCAGGAGAGAGACAGTGAAGGGAAAGTGAGAAATCAGCTCCCATGGGGCATGGTCACGCGGCAGTCCCTTCTCCTCCATTCTCCTCTCGGGATCTTGGGCACGCACACACACACACGCCCGGCGTGAGTTGATGTCACTGGGTCCGGGACTCGAACCACGGTCGACTACATGGGAGTCCAGAGACATAGCCATTACGCTAAGTGCTGATCCCAGTATATTGTTTTAAACCAATTATTAAGTGTTTGTGTCAGTAAACCTGTTAAATCTACATTTTAGTGGACTCCGTATGTGAACTATTTAAAATCCACCCGAGGTCTGCTCACTGCCCCCCTTCTACTGCCATTACCATGGTCCAGGGCCCCAGAACTCTCCCCTAGTCCATCGGATTTACCTGCTCACAGGTCTCCTTGCCTCCACCCTCATCTCCTCCTCCTCCCCAGTCCGTCCTTCCCAAGGAAAGTTTGGAAACCTTTGAGAAACAGATCGAGTCCTGTGCTCAGTCCTGGTGGCCACCAGCACCTCCACAATGAGGGCCCAGCTACCAGGCTGTCATCCCACGTTGCCTCGTCCCCTCCCTCCCAAGCCATCCCCGGAGACCCCGGCACTCCGGAGCTCGTCCCCAGCCCAGGTCCCGGCACCGTCCCTCGCCCGTCACGCGGCCCACACCTCGCCGCCCGCACGCCGGGCTCGGGGCCGGCCCAGGGACGCCTCGCCGACCCGGTACCGGGGCGAGGGCTGCAGGGACCGCGCTGCAGCCGAGCACCGGGCGGCGTGGCCGAGCCTCGGACCCGCCTCGGGGCCGCCAGCTTTCCCGAGAGCTGCTGTAGCGTCCCAGAGCAGCGAAGGTGCAGGCCCCGCGCGTCGCCGGAAGTCCCGCCCAGCGCGTTTTGCGTGCGAGAAAACGCGCATTCTCGTTAGTCGACGGTGGCTGCCATTTGTCTGCATGCCTTCTGGGGAATGTAGTTCCCTAGAGTCAAACCCGGTTCAGCCAGGGGAGCTGCAGTGTGGAAACCGGGGAAACCGGGGGTTAGGCACGTCTAGCAAGATACATACGGTATATGACAATCCAGAAAATTCAGAATCTAGCAATAATAATCTGTATCTTATTTAGGGAAACCTATGTGATTAAACTATAAAGACCTAAATGGAGACTAGCAGGTGACATGGTGGTTAAGGTGCTGGATCCCACATGGTGGACTATGCTCTTCAAGTTCTAGATCCAGGGCATGTCTGTGTGCGCCCAAAATCCTGGGAGGAGACTGGAGGAGAAGGGATTGTGGAGTGCTCATCCACTCTGGGGAGTGATTTCACACTTTCCCTCCCTGTCTGTCTATGGCTCTCTCACATGCCCTATAGCAAAAGAGAGAGAAAAAAAAGACATAACTGGAATAATTTTATTTGTGGGGGGAGAGGTTTTGCTATAGGGCATGTGCACTCGCCAGAGAGACAGAGAGACACAAGGAGATAGAAAGCGAGAAATCACCTGCTAGAATGGATGGCCATGATGGCCAAGACACAATCCCTTCTCCTCCATTCTCCTCTCAGGATCTTGGGCACACCCGTACACGTGCCCGGGGTCAGTTGAAGCCACTGGGTCCAGGACTCGAACCAGGGTCGACTACATGGGAGTCCAGCGACATAGCCATTACGCCAACTGCTGGTCCCAAATGGAATGATTATTAAAAAGGTATTAGCTTGGGATCTCCCAAAACACTCAGACAAGAGGAAAGATTTTGTCACAGAATGACCAGAAACCACCACAGAGGCACAAGAAATGTGAGAAACTAAGAAAATATCTCTCCCCTAAGTGAAAAGAACAATCTTTCATCATCTACAACTGTACAGTGGAACTCATGGAAATGTCTGATAGAGAATTCAGAATATTCATAGTGACAAAACTAAACAAGATGCAAGAACTGAGAGACAATGAACTCCAGAAGATGCAGGAGAAAAGAGATGAGTTCCAGGAGGTGAGGAAGTTCTTACATGATCTGAAAGAGGAAATACAAACAATAAAAGACAATCGAATGGAGCTGTTAGAGATGAAGGCTGCAATACAGGAAATCACAACCTCCCTTGAAAGTATTAAGAGCAGATTAGTCCATGCAGAAGATCAAACCTCAGATTTTGAAGGAAAAACCTCTGACCTAGAAAAAACAACGCAAAAAACTGAGAAAATAATCAGAAAAAAATGAG